TGCTCGGCGGGGAGCCTGCTTCTCCCTCTCCTGCTCCCCCTGCATGTGCTCTCTCACTCAGTCAAATAAATAAATAAAATCCTAAAAAAAAAAAATCCCCACTTCCGCGAGAATTCATGAGTCCGAAGCTTTGAGACTGTTTACCCTGGGTGCAGCGTCAGGGTTTGTATGTCCCCAAAGATACGAGACACACAGAGGAAGGGTGTGGCCCTTGGCTGAGACCAAGTCCACACGTTGGTTCCTTCTCATGACTGGAAGCTTTGACCACCGTCCCATCCAAGCTGAAGCGAAGGAGATGTTGGGCTGTTTCTTCTCTTCCTCCATCTGTCCCTGCCTTACCCCAGATTTTCCATAGTCTCTGACTTTCTGGGGTGACTCTCTTCTTTAAAACTCAAACAGCAGGCTGAGGTACCCATCTCCTGCTCTGCAGAGAGCTCACAGCCCTGCTCAGAATTCCCATGGTTTCCCTGGGCCTCACCTTCTTCTGACCACCTGTCACCCACATCCTTCTGCCCCCTCATTACTGATCTTTACCACCTTTCATTTCCAGAAGCTGCGATCCCCACAGGCAGGCCCTGTCCTGGTGGGTGATGGCCAAGATGGGTCCAATCATCGATAGGTATCAGGTGTCGGTGATAAAGCACCCTGACCAGCAGAGGCAGGAATTGTCTCCGTGATGACATTTTTCTTTAGAACCTGAGTGGCTGTGTTCCGGGGGCCCGTGCGTCCTCTCTGGGCGGTTCTTCCACCATCTCCACACCTTTCCTCACCTGCGGCCCACTCCAAGTTCCCTGGGGGAACTCACTTGGAGGAGCGAGTCAGCTCGATTGATCTGGCTCCAAACTCTCACCCTCAGGGTAAAGGGCTCACTTTTCTCAACCCCAAGGGCCACCTAATATGACTCCCTAACATAACCTCTGCTTCCAACCTAAAATTCAGACTCAACCTCACCCATTTATTTCACTCTGGCTCAAACACTAGAAATGACCTGCTTTGGGCCATGGTGTTCACAGCCCAGCAGGACCGACACTTCGGTTGGAAGGAGCAGGTGGGTGCTCACACCCACAACCACAGCATAGATGGTGATTTGCTTACCTTCTCTACATTTCATGACTGTGAGCCTGATGTATGGATATTCCTGTGCGTTCTGTTGACAATACTAAATTTCAGAAAAGAGAGATGTACCAGAGCCTTAGGGTTGAAGTAAATGAAGGTACTGCCCCAGATCCAGAAGGGAAATAGGGTCCTGTTGCCAGGATACTCACTGCTCCTTTCCACTGGGCCTCTCCCTGCAGGACATCATATGCCTGCCTCGTTGATGTCGTGGCCACCCAACTGACTTTGAACAATGAAATGATGGGAATGACAAGGTCGCTGTCCTACAGAAGCTCTAGAAATCAGTGAGGCGCCTCCCCCTCTCTTTTAGCCCAGGTCTCAGAACAAAGACAGACACAAGCATTTGTGTGTAAGCCGCTAGGATTTCCATAGAACTTATTAGCATAAGCTGATGGATTCAGTGATGTTCGATTTTCAAATTTAATTTTGGCCAGAAAGGGGATTTCACGGGTGGGGCTTTAATTTCTCCTTTGTGTCTTATTTATACAAGAAGGTTCATACTGTTCAAATGTTATGCTTTGCGGGGCTGGTACCGTAACTAATACGGCAACAGCATCAAATGTTGCTCGCTGAATAACCTTCTCGGGCTAGTGAGGATAGACTGCATATCTGGGCCAATAATTCATAGTAGCAAAAGGTGAGTTTTCATCCTAAGCTTAAAGGACCCTAATCCACGTCCTTTCGTGGCAGATTTCAGAGCCTGATGCAGGCAGCAGCAAAGCTGCCTACACATCGGTGGTGGCCACCCTTGTCTGGCGTCTGCCTTTGAAGGGGCTGTCTTCACCCGGTTGCCACGGGTTTACCTGTTGCGTCCAATGAGCCGACGGAAAAACTGAAACCCGGAAAATGATCCCTTCCCAAGGAAGAGTTAGCAATCTGAGAGAGCTGGTACCTAACCACCAGTGAGCCCCACTTTCTGGAAGAAAGTCTGCATTAGTAGCTGAGACCCCATCATCTGGTTCTCTCATGGGTCAGAAGCAAAACCCTGGAGAAAAAAACCATGGGGGACACACTTAAAGGACAAAGCATGGGCCGTCCACAAGGCAGAGGAAGGAAGACCAGAGAGGAGGACCCTGCCACAGGGTCAGGGAACGAGACCGGGAAACCCTGAGAAGCTTGGCGGTTTGGGAGGGCATGGGCATCGTTTTCCAGAACCACCCAGGAGAGAGAACAGGTTAGAACCCAATCACAGTGAGGTGCAGGGAGAATGAGAGAGTGGCCCAACCAGCCCACTCCCTTGCTGAAGGAAGAGAGGACAGCCCGCTTGGACCGTGCTCTCCAGAGCTGGGCCGAGGAAAGTGGGGGGAAAACGAGTGAATGGAGGTTAGCCAGAGGTGGGGGTGCAATAAGGCCAGTCAGACGGCCAAGGGACGGAAGGTCGTCACCTCTCCCTATGATGCCTGTATTATTTGTACATTCGCTGTACCTGACACAATTTATTTAGAATACCAAATACTCAAAACCCTTTGTGATATCCAGTGTTTTTCACTAATGCCTTGATTCCTACTCCCTATTCCCTGCCCCTGCCCTAGAAACACACGCACACACATGCAAACATCCATGTGAACAACTAGCCGATGCCCTTGGGGAAACTAGCTGCTGGGCCTGTCCTCTGCTTCCAGAAACTGCGGGACAGAGGAGGCCCTGGACCTGGAAAACGCAGAACGAAAGGCCAGCTGCGCCGGCACTTGATCAGACATGATTTCAGCATAAAATCTAGAAAAGATGAATGACGCTTTACAAGGAATGAAAATCAATGGTCTTTCTCATTTTATTTATTGCGAGGATGACAGCAGGGAGCTGGGAAAGCAGATGACTGGCCAGGAAGGGAGAAGGCTCAGCACCTCCGGGAAGGGCCGAGAGCAGCGAGGGGCTGAGGCGCCTCAGGAAGGGAGGCCAGGCCGTCTTCTGGCAGATTTTATCTACTCAGGAAGGCGCAGGCTTCCAGAAGCGCTGTGGGACATAACCAAAGCAGGAGATTCAGAAACTGATCTTTTTTTAAATCAAGAGATCAATCAAGGACTGAAGTACTGAAACACAGACCTTCCCCTGTCTTCTCCCACCAACCCTCGGCCCGTGCTTGCTCACCTTGCCACCCCCCCCGCCCCCGACCCCCGGAGCCTCCTCCTAATGGCAGCCACCACGGCTCTTCCTGCCTTGGCCTGAGTGACACAGGACCCACCCCCATTTGCCTCTAACTGAATCAACTGTCACACTCAAGTCACAAGACACGGATGGTCCTCAGATGGGAGCAATCAACTCGCCCGTCTTCAGGCAAATCTGTCTGAGGTGGTGTTCACCTACTCGTGCACTCAGGCATTCACAAATACTCGCTGAGGCCCGCTTTGTGTGAGGCACTGTGCTAAGTGCGGGGTCCAGCAGGGACACACGGGCCCTGACGTCACAAGAATAGCCCTGCAGCCTCTTTGTCAGAGCAGAGTCCTCGGACCACCTGATCACAATTCCCCGAGATGCTGGTTGGTAAAGAGCGGTGACAGTATTGACATTTGGGGCCGGGGAACTCTTTGTTGGCCAGGCTGTTCTCTGCTTTGTTTAGCAGCATCCGTGGCTTCTGCCCACAGACACCAGCTGCACCCCCTAAATTTTAAGAATCAAAAATACCTCCAAGCATCGTCCAATGTCCCCTGGTTCGGTGGGGCGGGGGGAACTGCACCTAGCTGAGAGGGACTGATACAGAGCTTCTTGGCCCCACCCCATCCCTGGGCCCCCACCACCCCGAAGGCTCCAGTGTCTGATGAGGTACCAGAAACAGGGCTCTGGGTGACCCCACGTGCAGGGGAGGCGGTGCACATTGCAATTTTAGAATCACCGCCTGGAGCCTTACGACACTCTGCAATATCTTATAAATGTTTTTAAAGGAGCAAATTATTTGTCAATACATTTTCCTGGCTAAGATACTTTCTGAGAATTTGTATTCTCCACGGCTGGTATTTATGGTAACTGTCAAGAGACCAGAATTTGTGTGTGTATATATATATATATATACACACATGTATGTGTATGTACATGTGTATAAGCTTATGTACATATACCTACATACATATACACACACACTTCATTCTACTGGATAAAATGAATCACGGTTTCTAAAACCCACGACAGGCACTATCAGCATTATAAAAATTTCGCATATGACCACTGCCTTATTTTTCTCTGTCTTTCATCTCATCCGGGACGCCGTAACTTCCTGAGGCAGCGGGATAGTACATCGCCCTTTTTTATTCCCATCTTCATTCCTAGAACGCCTCCTGGCCCTGCAACCTCGCCACCCTTCACGCATGCTGGCTTCTCTGGGGCGTTGCACTTACGGGAGCTTGAGCACTGTCGCAGATTAGCAACGGCCGTGACGTATGCTGATCCCAAATATTCTTCGTACGTGTTTTTGCCCTGGAGTCTGGCCAGGCACTCCGTGTTGTCATTGAACAGAAGGTTTTTGGTTTCAGACGTGAACAAGCAAAACTCTCTCGGGCATTTAGCTCCGTTTCTTCCAAACTGATCCTGTAGTAATGGGGCAGACGGTAAGGGAGCGGCCGAGGGAGACAGGAGAACGTATGGATTGGGAGAGGCCAAGGACATCTCTTCCATCCAGGCTCAGCCCCGGGAAGCCCAGGGAATGAAAGGAGCTGAGTTCTAGAGGTTTTCCACCGCGTGGCTGAGCCTTCCCCTGCCCCATGTCCTCCTGCGGCCCGTGTCCCGGGTGCGGCAAATCCACTGGGTGGTGCCTGGGCCCCTCACTACTCTTGATCTCACCTCCCGCCATCTTTCCCTCCTTGTCCATCTGTGGCCTCTTCCCGTAGAACCTCTGGGTGGCTAGATGACAGCTGAGGATTTCTGAGCTCTCCCCCAAAAGCTGATCACCTACAGCACTCTGAGAGGCCAGCTCCAGCATACAGACAGTCTGCACTGGAAATCGTCTCTGCCATTGATCAGGTCATTGCCTTGGGCGGGTGGGTCACTTAGCCTCCTCTGCAGGGCGAGAGCAACACAGCTCCGTGATGGACCCCCTCTTGCCAGCACTAGTAGTGTGCCACAGTGAGGTTACTGTGCCCATTATTGCCATTCTAGGGCCTTTAAAGCAACCGGGACACAAGGTGTTCTAATACAAAACTAGAAGCTCTAAAAGAGAATCACAGACTTTAAGGAAATTGCATGGTTCCCTTCAAACCACTTCCCACAGATAGCCTTCAATCTATAGAAGGTCCTGGTGTGTTGTGTCTAGAGACACATGTGGACGCCTCTGTGGTTCTCATCACTGAGACTCTGGGTGGTTCCTCCGCATGAAGCGAACACGATCAGCACCAGCGTCCAGCAGCGGGACAGGAGAGGGGGGCTCTGGACGGGCTGCTACCCCTTTGGCACTGTGACCGCCCCGCCTCGCAGCAGCCCGAGCACATAGGAGAAGGCAGGAGGCCCTGGTCATCCACACCTGTTGGTCGAGCAGCACCTGCTTCAAGTGTGTTGCCTTATCTTCCCGAGATACCACAGCGTGGTTCGGAGCCATGGCCAGGTGGCATCTCACAGCCTCTGTCACGGGCTTCCGGGTGCCATCAAGGCATAGCAGTTCAAAGTCCTCCAGCTTCAAATCCTTAGCCCAGGCCTCAGGGTTCCCGCCTGGGGAGAGAAAGAAAGGCGGCATCAGCCACGGGGCTGCCCCGCTCAGTCAGGTGGGTCGGACGAGACCACTGGCCTCTCCTGAAATGCACACATGCGGGTCGCGGGGACGCGAGGGAGAGGGAAGGAAGTTTTGTCCACACAGGCTATACAAACTTCAAACACAGCAAACATCGGTGCCGCTTCCATACAAGCAGACAGGATCCAGGAACATAAGGGAGCGAAGCCCTGACACATTCTACAACGTGGATGAGCCCTGAAAATGGGATGCTCAGTGAAAGACGCCAGTCACAAAAGGCCACATGATCCCATTTCTGTGAGACGTCCAGAATAGGCAAATCTACAGAGACAAGAGAGGAGACTGGGGGTTGGCAGCTCTGGAGGCGTGGGGAAAGGTGCCAGGGTACTTTATGGGGCATTCTAGAGTGTTCTAGAATTGGACTGGGCTGGTGGGTGTGGTGCTCCGTGAATGTGCTAGAGACCACTGAATCCCACACTTGGAATGGGCAGATTTTTATAGCACGAATTATATCTCAAGAGAGCTATTAATTTTTAAAAAAGAATGCCCTCCACCTGTGCCCTATTTTCCAGTGCGTTCCAGAAAAAGAATATCTGGTTTATGTTCAAGAAGAAAGTGTTTTGTCCTTCCCTTCATATTCAAATGCTCTTAGTGTATAACCAGACAAAGGACAGGAACTTCTACAAGTTTATCGAATATGTTCCATTAATTAAAAAAGATAGTTGTGAAATCGTGAAGAAACTTACACTGAAACCTGACATTGCTCTAGGGGATCGAGAGTACACTTATCGTGATGAGCACTGAGTCATGTACAGAAGTGTTGAATCACTATACTGTACACCTAAAACAACTATCACACTGTATGTTAATTACACTTCAATAAAAAAAAAACTGACATCAATCAATCCCCAGAGATCACTTAGATTAATGGTTCATAAATTCAAAATGGAATTGTATGCATGTCTGTGTGTGTGCAAACACAGGTTCAATGTTCAGGCCCCTGCTTCGCTCCTTCTGCCCCCTCTTCCCTCAAAAACAAAACAAAACAGAAACAAAAACACTTTATCCATTCTCTTGGCTTTGTCTATTTGATATTGAGATCACTCCAAATTTTTATGTCTGTCCTCAGTCCCTTTCCCAAGAGACATGGGGAGGATCAGAAGAAGGGAGGAGGGGCTGTGACTGCCGATATTTGAAGGACAGAGGCAGAAGGTCGAGGAGGTTCTTTCTCAGAGGCTGAAGTGGCTAGTCATCTGCTGGGGACCGTGGGGGCCGAGTGGGGGTTCAGGAGAAGGCTGCAGTTTGGAAGGTGGCCAGATGGCTTGGGGGGCTGAAGTTGGCAATTATTATTCATCTTCCATTATCTGTACCTGCCTGTGACTTTGTCCCCAAAGACTCCCAAGGAGTTTCCAAACGTAGGGCTCACACAGGTCCGAATGAAGACCCTTACTTCCTTTTTTAAAACTATGGGACAGGGAGATGGTGTGCTTCTGAGGTTGACTAGACAAAGCCAGGGAGACATTTGCTATTGAGGATGGCTGGTGTGTGTGTGTGTGTGTGACTATGGGACAGGGAGATGGTGTGCTTCTGAGGTTGACTAGACAAAGCCAGGGAGACATTTGCTATTGAGGATGGCTGGTGTGTGTGTGTGTGTGTGTGAGAGAGAGACAGAGAGAGGGAATTTGGTTTCAAAATCAATGTGACACTCACAGACATACCATGTGGCATAACGAGGTAAAGACTTTTGGAAGTTACTTGATCCAAACCCTAGAACAGGTTATAACAGCTTCCCAATTGCAAACCTGAATACTGAGACGCGAAAGGGAAACACTTCGCTCACCATTCGTGTTCTGCAAGACAGTGACGTCTTTCACAAACGCAACGTCTCCAGCCCTCTCCGCCAGACACCTAAAATGTTCCAGAAAATAAACACATTGCCACAAAAGAGAAACTATTAGGGTTTTCATAAATATTTGTAATATAGATTCCAAAAACTGAAACACAGGAAGAAACATGGAACAGATAAAGATAAATATTTCCAGGAACTTATGGTTTAAAATGGTAGCTTGAGGGCGCCTGGGTGGCTCAGTTGGTTGAGCGACTGCCTTCGGTTCAGGTCATGATCCTGGAGTCCCTGGATCGAGTCCCACATCGGGCTCCCTGCTCGGCGAGGAGCCTGCTTCTCCCTCTAACCCTCCCCCATCTCATGTACTCTCTCTCTCTCTCATTCTCGCTCTCTCAAATAAATAAATAAAATCTTTAAAAAAAAAATAAATAAAATGGTAGCTTGAACACATGCGTTTGTGAACCTTCCCTGCTTCTAGAATCCCAATAAAATGACGTTAGTGAGATTGCTGGGGTTTTTTACATTAGCAAGTTTTTTTAAGCCAGAAACCGTGAGCAAGAGGAGGGCAGGAGTGGAAGAGAGAAGGTAATACTGACAACGTTTGGAAGGCGGAGAGCAAATCAATGAGCTGTAATTGACCCAACAGAGCAGAAACAGCTTGTAATGTAAGCTGAAAGTGAGGGAAGCCCAGAAGAACTGAGGTGTGCTACAGAACTCCAGAAAAGCTCATCAGCTAGAAGCACCAAGCACCATGAAAGTGACTGAGACAGGAGGACCGGATAGAGTGTGTATAGACACGGCTTACGTGCCCTCCTATTCCATACGGATGGGAGGTGGCTCCCCACCTCCCCCAAGCAGAGCACTGAAGGTTTGTTCGTGAGAGATTGAACCTGAACAACATTAAAGACAGAGGGCCAAGCACAGTGGAGAGCAGAGGCCCAAGACTGACACCGGAGAGTGGTTTGAGTATCTATATTCTGGTAGGTTCAATCATAACCTCTTTCCCCCACTCAGCCTCCCACAAAGCGTATGAGATGATTCTTTCTCTGGAAAAGCTGATCAATCCAAGAAAAATTCCTATAGATTCTGACATGGGGAAACTCCACGGTGAAATGACACAAACCAGTTGCCCCAAAGGCGAGACCCATAACCAAGCCAAGACGTGGCACCTGATGCAAAACTCACAGCACTGGTGTTTCATTCTTAAATATGGACAAATGGTCAGAAACCACTGAGGAAATACTGGAAAAAATGTAGACTGAAAAAATGTAGCTAAGGGGCGCCTGGGTGGCTCAGTTGTTATGCGTCTGCCTTTGGCTCAGGTCATGATCCCAGGGTCCTGGGATCGAGCCCCACATCGGGCTCCCTGCTCAGCGGGAAGCCTGCTTCTCCCTCTCCCACTCCCCCTGCTTGTGTTCCCTCTCCCACTATCTCTCTCTGTCAAATAAATAAATAAAATCTTAAAAAAAAATGTTTAAACAAATGTAGCTAATTATACTCAGAAAATACAGAGACAATACAGGAGAGAGAATAAAACTTTTTTTTTTACTATAATGAATATCATTAAAGAGATGAAAGAAAGTGTAGCATTCATAAAACAAGAACAAGAAGCTCTAAAAAAGGAGCAGTCAGAACACAAACTGTTCTTAGAAAATAAAAAATCATCTTAAAAATTCTCAAAAATGATATATTGATTAAAAGGTTAAGCTGAAGAAGTATCCCAGAAACCGGAAGATAAAGAAAAGCAAATTATAAAAAATAAATAAGAAGAAAATGAAATGATAACCCAGGAGTCAATAATTTAAGAATTAAGGTTTAAAGAGAAATCAGAGAAAACAGAGTAGAAATTATCAAAGAAATAATGAATTAAAATTTCCCAGAATGGAACAACTTGAGCTTCCAGATGAAACAGGCCCACCAAGTGCCCAATCCAAAGGATTAAAAGGGACTCACATAAAGAAATATCAGTGTGAAGTTCAGAACATTGGAGATTTTTTTTTAAATCATTTTTTTAAAAACTCAGAAACTTCTTAAGAAACTTGTTTTTTAAGCATTTTACTTTTGATAAAACTCCAAATGAATTTTTCCTAAAAAGTATTTTTCATTCATTGTTAAATCTCTGTAAATTTAGAGAGAAATACACATTTAAGAGAGAAGTTTAGGTGTCTGATTTCTTTACTCTTCACAAAATATTCTTTGTGTCAACCTGTGCATCTAAGATACTTCCTAACCCTCCTAAAGCTCATTCTCTCAGAACAAGGAAATTACAAATAAATTGAAAACTCAAAAATCAATTTTTTTTCAAAAAGGAAGAGTCATATACAAAGAATCAGGAATCCAAAATGGTATCAGATTTCTCAACAAAAATTCTAGATTTAGAAGACAATGGATTGATGCTTTAAAATTTTTGAATTTGCTGTAGTTTCTGTCTTTTTGTTACATTCTAGATAACTTTTTCACATATCTTCCTTAATTCTCTTTTCAGCTATGCCTAAGCTGTTAAACTGGTCAACTGTGTAGCTAATTTCAATTGCTATATTTTTTCCTTTCCAGAAGTTCAATTTATTCTTTTATAAAAAAAAAAAATACTACCTTGTTTTTTCTGATGGATGTTGCTTCTAGTAACTTTCCCCCTGTGTTTTTAGTTAATATAATTATAGTTACTTTTGACTGTGTACTGCTCATTGTTATCGAGACAGGATTTTTGAGCAATCGTTGAAGCCTAACCTGAAGGTGCTGTCTTTCAGGCAGGTTTCTAGAGGGGACCACTTTAAAAAATATTTATGAGTTGAGAATTTCTGGACCATTCTAGGGGATATAAGTTTGAGCTGCAAATCCATGCAGGAGATGGCTCATGCTTTCTGTTTCTCAGGGATGGTGTGCATTCTCCTCCCTGTTTTCTTCAGCACCCAGCAACTTGATGCCCTCAGGAGTAGGTGTGGAAATTACTTCTGATTCACTCCTACCTTAAAGGTGTATGCAACCTCTGTGTTCAAGTTTGTCACGACAGGTAAATGTCCTCAGGACAAAGTGAACACTTAGCTCTCTGAATTCTTATTCTCCCTTAATAATCTTACTACTTTGTCATTTATTCGATATTCTTAAGAATGTGTGTGTACACTCGCGCACACGCGCATGTGGACTAATCCAACGTTTTGGCTTGTTTTTAGTGAGACAATTGTTCAAAATAGCTAATGCTGTCATTTCCCAGATAGGGAAAATCCTGTCAAAATCCCTAGGGAGAATGTTTTTCAACCGACAGTTACCCACCCAAACTATAAATCATTTCAAAGGTAGTACAAAGATGTTTTCAGACATGTAATACTCAAAGAACAGCAATGCCAACTCAGCGTTTCTCAAAAAGATGTGTTGTGTGCCAACAAAACCAAGAAAGCAGACGATATGGAATCCAGGAAACAGGCAACTGAACAAGAAGTACATCGAAGGGAAATCCCAGAATGACCGTCAAAGGGAATCCTGGGACCACAGGGGGGCCTGGGGTCTAGAGGGGGTCTAGAGAACACCAGTTCGGACTGGGCTGGGGCAAGATTCCCAAGCATCTGAAGAACCTGAGCCAGTATTCACTCTGGGCATGTATTGTTAGTAGGTTTACACCACTGGCTATGGGTTTTGAGATGAAGTAGTGATTTTTTTTTTTTTAAGCACAGAGAAGTAAGCAAAATAAATAAATAAATAAGACACCTATTAACTCTAGAGTAAACAAAAACTTTGTACCATAAGGGAAGTACAACCTTATTACACCACGTATTTAATATGAGAATATTTACATATTCATAATAACGTAAGCACTGAACGTGACATAAATCTGTCGGGTGCTGAAAGCAGGTGAAATCTGTGTTTGTGTGACACAGAGCAGCAGGAGAGGCTAGAACTTCTTCTTCCATAATGGAAAGTCAACGGAAAATAGCTGAAAATTGAAAATTAAGAACCAGCAATATAAGGATGTTAGTTAGAAATATAGAGGTGAAAGGACTTCTGGGTCCAGCTTTCAGTTTACATAAAAGGCAAAGCATTTCCTTCTTGTATAAAGAGGAATACTAAAGTGTAGGTGTTTTCAATGAAATAATACCTTCCCACGAGTTTAAAAGAAAAAAAAACACATAGTTCCTCTGGGTTTTTCTCAGATATGTGTCTACTCAATATTTCTGAGCAGAATCACATCACAACTTTTCCATTTGCAAATCCTTAGTCTTTTAAAGGTATTCTTGTACATTCACAAAATATTTTCGTGAGTCACTCACACTATAGTAAAAGTTACATCTACATCATCCCATCATCGGAGTGAAGGCTACTGAATTTATATATTAAAAAGTTCAAAGACTCCAGTTGGCCACTGTCATTGTCAGATCTATGACACCATCTGGTGGTGCACTATCCTTTTTTTTTTTTTTTTTTTTTTTAGTATATTTATTTGAGAGAGAGACAATGAGAGATTTTTTTAGTAGGCTCCACACCCAGTGCAGAGCTCGATGCAGGGCTTGAACTCACAACCCTGAGATCAAGACCTGAGCTGAAATCAAGAGTCAGACGCTTAATCGACTGAGCCATCCAGGTGCCCCAAGTGCAATATATTCTTGATGAATAGAGAAAAAGAGGCTGGGGAGGACCCCTGAGAAGTGACAACCGACATCTGCATGAACGGGGTTGTAATTTTGAATTATGGATAGTTACTGTGGATCACTAAGTGGTTATAACTGGTGAATTCTGAAAACTTATTTTTTGGTTTACCTTTCACTTTACCAGTGGAGGATAACATTGCCCTACTGCTTTGTCTTTGCCATTTCTAAGGCTGAAATCAAAGAGAAAAGTAAAGAGTGAGACGTAATGACAACCCCGATCGGGGGCGGGGGGGGCTGTTGGTGGCTACAGGAAAGAGAAGTCTTGCCCATAAAATTGAATTGTAGAAAGGACGTAAGTGACCACCAAACACGACCCATTTGATTTTGAGGAGGAGGACACTGAGGCCCACTGAGGCTAACTTTGGCTCCAAGCCCTGGGGAGTAGCCCAGCAGAGCTGAGGTCATGCAGCCCCGTGGGAGAAGCTCTGTGGCAGCCTCCGGGGAGGAATGGAGGAACCCTCAGGGGTTCAGCCTCTTAGTGGACCCCCAGGCTGCCCCCTGGCTCTGCTGTGACAGGTCGTATCTGTCTCCTTAGAAATGCACTGCCAAGATTCTGGAGGATGAGGGACGAAGGACGGGGCCCTACCCTGGGCAGGCTCGGCCACAGAACTCACCTGAAAGCCCCAGTGTAGCCAAAGTATCTCTCACTGTTGTTGGGCACGCACTTGTTCTCACCCTTCTCGTCGCCTATGCACAGTGCACAGAGATTGGACTTCGGGTCAGACCCAGGGGCACAGCTCTGGCTAAAGAATTCATCTGCAGAGAAGGAACATGGGAGTCAGCGCTTCCTACCTGAGTCGAGACAAGAGACCTCTCTACCCAGCAGACCATGCAACCTGGGTTGGGTTCATTCTGTGGCCCGGGATGGACAGCATACACTCGCTGTCACACACAGCCACGCACTACCACCCACCGCGGGCCCAGCAGAAATCAGAAGAGCTCACACCAGAGGCACTGACAGGAAGTCTGCCCAGGGACTGACCAGAGGGTCCCACTGTGACAGCCTCGGGCTGGAAACTCAACCGATGAACTTGGCGGCAACTCGCGGCAGAACCTGCAGGCCGCCCTCCAGGATCTGATGTCCACTTTCTCCAGAAATAGAAACCCTGCTTTTTACCTGGGTGCCTGGTCCCTTAGAATAAAGACCGGCCTGACCAGATGCCCTGTGGCTACTACAGAACTCACCAGTGAGCTCCTTAGAAACACCCTTCGAGGGCGCCTGGGTGGCTCAGTCGGTTAAGCGACTGC